AATAGCAGGTGACTGTACATTTTGTGTCTTCGTTGTGTTTATACATCCAGGCAAGACAGACATGTTGAACTATTGATTTAAGAATCACTATTGAGCTCTGACATTGCCTGTGAAATGTCATTCAAATGATTTATTTTCGATAGATTATATGAACTGAAGTTGAAAAGTCCGAAAATATATGACTTTTAATTTTGATTTTTGTAAAGGTGCAGGAATATAATATTCATAGGTTATGTTGTTATTAGTGTATAATCACCTGGATATAGGAATCTTTTATGTTTTTATTACCTTTTTAGAAATGAAGCTGTTTCATACAGACGCCAACTTCACCACTAGGTGCCATAAACACTGGTCCTTTTAACAAATGATAAACAGGAGTGCACAGGGATACAAATCTGTAGATCTTCTATGTTTTTATCTGTTTTTATGTCCTCTTTTATAGCAGACCCTTCTAATATTCTGTCTCCTGCTCCTCTTCCAGGTTCAGTAGACAGTAACTGGGTAGTTGGCGCAACGTTAGAAAAGAAGCTGCTCCCGCTGCCGCTCTCTCTGGTCCTCTGCACCTTCCTCAACCACCGCAAGAACAAATTCCAGTGCGGTTTTGGCGTCACCATCGGTTAGGTCGACGGAGCGGCGGGTTATCGACCCGCAGACGGTTTTCACAGAACGGACAGACTCACTATGGACGAGCAGACTATGCCATGTACACGACTGTGTGTCCCATCAACTCAATCTGTCACCCGATTCGGCCATTGTCCTGTTATTGGTTTCCCAGATCATGTTTCATCAAATGTGGTGAATAGAAAGGTAATGATGTAAATCTAATGCATTTAATCCTATAAGACGAATCGCCTGATTGATCAGAAGCGTAACAAAATAATGTGGTTGTTCAGCGATTTGTTGACTGTCGACACAAACCAATAGACGGTAGAAAGACGTAACACATTAAGAGACATTACAGAGCTCTTTGTTTTTGTCACTGAGTTCAGTGCCTGTTGCTCCGGTTTTGAATTTTATTCCTGTTTGTTTTTTTTACTGTAAAATCTGTCTTGGTGTGCAGTGAATGAAATCGTTGCCATTTGCTTGTTTAACGGTGATTTATTGGTTACAGACGAGTGTTACCAGCTATTAGGAAGGAGTGTACTGTACTGCATGTCACGTTCACAATCCATCACTTGTTTTGTTGCCTTTTTTTAATGTTACATGCATATGGAACCGTATATATGACCTGTATATACCTCTTGGGAACTGATAAATACCATTTCTTACAAAACCTGCATGTGTTTGGTCGTTTCCTTCAGTCGCTCTCGTCTCTGCTGGAGTTCATATAAAGACACATGAGAACATTTTCCAGTAACATCTCCCATCTCCATTCATCTTTTCCCCACAATCCCTCATGGTTGGCCACCCGGGGCGTCCTGATAGCTGGTGGAGCCGGCGCCCCGTGTGCCAAGGCTGAATCCTTGCTAAATCATGGGGTTCAAACTCCGGCCTATGACACTTTTGTTAGTTGTTCACCTCTCTCCTTCCTCTTTCCTGGTCGCTCTTCATCAATTCACTAGGAAATAAAAAAATATTATATCTTAAAGAAAAATAATAATCCAGTATAAATAAGATTCAGGATAACTAAACCAGGGCAGGATGCTGAATAGTCAGTTTTATCATGGGTCATAAACCAGTTATCCATTTGTATTGCTAAGTTTGTTTTTAAGTCTGTTGTGGAAATGGAGTTTATCGCTCTTTTTGTTTAACTGCAGATGGTCATTTATTCTTAAATTCCTCATGATTTGAATACTGAGCTAAGGAGCAGCTTCTTTCCCATACACATTTATATTAACTTGCTACACAGTTTATCAGTGCTTATGGCCTTTTGAATAGTCTAAGTATAGTAATAGTAAGAATAATACGTTTTGAAAAAAGCTGAATCAAACTATAAATATTTATGTGTATATGAACACCATTTATATCCTAATATTACATTTAACATGAATCCTTTAGAAAACAGGAAAGGGACTGGGTATTGATCTTCGGTTGTTAACAAATGGTGCTTAAAACTCTCTGCACCTATAAGTAGTGAACAGGTTACATTAAATGTGAGTCCCTTGCATCCATTTTAATTAGAGCTAAATAACCAATATATTGATTATCCTCTGGCCTGGTGATGCTGAATACATTATCTGAAAACATTATAAACTCATTAAGAAAACTATTTTTACATATTTGTTTTCAAGTCTTTGTTTAGTTTAGATTAAACATAGGAGGAAGAGATTTGTTTTAATGTAATGGCAGTGTTGCTCATTGTAATTCTTAAATGCTGGGTGAACTAGTATAGGTTGCTTAAAAGTGCAATGGTTAAGAGTGAACACAGAGAAGCATTAGAAAGATCACACGTCCTTGCTAAAAACTAATAAACATTTTCCTCACCAACCACAGGAACATATTTAACATCTGGGGATGGGGTTGCCTTTAGTTTTTGTTGCCCAGAGACACTTCAAGCAGGATGAACGGTGTGACATACGCCGACCAGGGGAGTGAAATTCTGTCATTTGATTAAATGTTTAAACAGTTAATTCTTTTAAACTGGCAACCCAACACAGGGAATGAAACAGGACTCCAGCAACGTTGCTAAATCACAATAACACTTGATGATCCTGCACAATGTGAACTCTATGGAGTTGTGTCCTGGTTTGTGTGTATTTTAAAGCAGCTTTATAAGTTTCCCCCCCCTTTAATTGCAGAATCATCAATTAATATTATAAAAATAGATCACCCTTTGAAAAAAAAAGTCAAGTTAAGACTCCTGTGGAGACTGAACTTTTGCGTTGTTTCAATTTTTTATTTGATGAAATATCACAACTAAAGTTCAGAATAACTATTTTGCCTGGTGTGGAAGCTTTGAGCCCGGTTATACTGCGTCCTTCTTATTGAAAAGACTTCCCACAGAACCAGTCAGCCTGAGCCTGCAGGTCCTGAGCGCTGGCCGTCCAGCTGGCCTTCAGCTCCTCTCCCAATGGAGCCAGGTTCTGCTGGGATCTCCTTGGTTTTCTGGCGGTCATCTGGGTCTCAAAAGCTCGGCGGACCAGGACCAGGGGGATCATGCTCCTCTGGAACTCGTCCAGGCTCTGCTCCATCTTCTCCTTCATCTCCTGGGTGTAGGGAACCATCTGGGCCTGCAGCTCGCTCACGCTCTTATCCAGCTGCCCCTTCAGTTCCTGGGTCTTCAGCAGCAGGACGGCCTTCAGGGCCTCGGGGTCCATGGCCTCAGCGTAGGGGGCTGCCTCCTTCTGCAGCTCCTCCACCTGCCTCTGGAGGAGTGCCACCATCTCCTCAGCGTAGGGCTGCATGTTAGTGCTCACAGCGGTCAGATCTTTATCCAGACGGGCCTTCAGCTGCTCGGCCTCCTGGGAAAAGCGAGTCATGAAGTCCTGGGTGAGAGGAGCCACCTGAGCACGCAGAGAAACAACGTACTGATTCACTGTGTCGGCGCTCTGAGAGATCCTGGCACTGAAAGAAACAGAAACAAAGAGTTATTAAACTGAAACACAATGTATAGTTCTAATTTAGTTAGGCTTTTCTATCATGTTGACTCTTACTTCACTTCCTGTCCCAGCTCGGACTGTCTGATCTGCTGCACGGAGTCCTCAGCAGTCAGAGTCGCTTTAGCAACGTAGTCCCAGAAAGCATCTTTCACCATATCCAGATTGCTCATGGGTGGCTCCTTCCACAGGATGTTGGCATTGCAACCTGCGGATAAAACAGAACATTTAGCACAGAAGTTTGAGAGAAACATTTATTCACCAGTTGTGGTTTCGATGAATAAAGTTTTAATTCACTCACCAGAGAAAACAGCAAGAGCGAGAACCACAAGTACCTTCATGATTGGATTTGACTCTGTTGGATAAAGACAATAAAATTACAATTTAAATAAACATTCAATTAACACAAATTAATTTAGTTATAATAATATAAAATGTGTTACCTTGCAGAAGCAGTTTGTCTCTTCTTCACTCTGTGTCTGATGACTTGTGCTGTACAGACGGGCGTTCAGAGATTTTATAGCCATCTTGAAGGGTAAAGTCCCTCTCTGGTTGCCCCGCTGGACACATTCTCGTCACCGCAGTGACTCCACGTCATAATTAAGTGAAGTGCCATCACCTTCTAATCCCGTGATACATATTCTCTGGCATCTGAATGGGTTCAAAATTGGTTTATACTCTTAAAACAGCATCACAAGCAGCAGGTAAACAGAAGGCAGTGACTACTGGGCATTTAAAGTAGTAACGCAGTCATTTTGGGGCATTTCGGCAAACATGTAAGCAAGCACATCCAGCAGATACGAAACACCATTAGCATCCCACTGGAATCATGTTTCTGGCCACTTCTCTACTGCAGTTTTAAGTATGACGTTAGTAATCAGTAATTCAGAATATTTGTCCTTTCTTGTAGTACTTGAACATTGAAGTGGCCCTCCTATGAGATGATGATACCAGCAGGTGCACCAAGCCAATAATGGAAACACATCTATGAATGTTTTATTCATTTCTGCTGACTGAAATAGAAATGTTACACACTGGACCCAAAAAAACAAAGCAATCAGTTTAAAAGTATTTAAAAGCTCAGTAGAGCTGAGAGAAGCTGTGGAGTCGCTGTCAGTGACACCTTTCACATAGTCAATCAATCAATCAAACCTTTATTTAAGTTTCGAGAATCATTGAGGTTTCCCTCATTTACAATGAGGTCGAGAAACAAAGAAATATGCAGAGTTAAAACAAATCATAATAAGAAGAAATAAAAACAGGTCAACCCCTAGTGGGGGACCACTAGGGGTTGCCAAAGCATTATGGGTGGGGGGGTTAGGGTTAGTTAATTGTCTAATAGAATAATGGCCAAACATCAGGGACAAGAATTTAAAGTTCATTAAGTCTGTATTTATATTGTTAAAAATGATAAGAAAGAATTATACAGACTGAGAATTGTATAAAAAGTTAATTAAACAGGAAATAATCACTTGTTTTGACTTCACTATTTGGGATCATTGTACAGTTTTGAAAATAATATTAAATATCCATAAAATATGTCACTTAGTCAGTTTACTAAATGATAGAAAAAGGGGTCTCTTAAGGAAAAAAGGTTGGGACTGACGTTGGGAACGTAGCTTTCTCCACGTCTTCTTATGATTAGTTTGAAGGTCCCTGTGTGAGTCACAGTCAAACAGCTGGATGTTTATCAGTAGTTTCTCCTGAGAGAAGCTCCTCCGCCTTATCAGTCAGTCCGGAGACAATTGCTGTATAAGGAAACGTAACATTCCTCAGAAGAGATAATCTGCAGGTCAAAGTCCGGCTCACATCTCACATCTCACATCCGACAAAGTTAAGAACATTCAAGTGAATCAATGTGTGTGTTTGTGCCTCTTAAGTACTACAGAGTAATCAACAGAAACAATGCTTTATCTGTACTGTACTCAGGATCTTAATCAGAAGTGTTTCTCTGTCACAACTCATCAATGTGTTTACACACGATATATTTGAGTGACCCAAATTCAGTGTTTTTCACCAGTGTGAGTTAAATATGTTATAAGTTATATTATCTACCAGTTTAGTTCAGTATTATTTTATGACTGGTGAGATACACCTAGGTGGGGAATAGGTTTATAATCGTATATTGTTCGTATTATGTGCTATACTAGCCTTTTTTTTTAGCTAAAGAGTCGAGTTTTGACCTCTTATATCTTAATCTTAAATCATGATACAAATAGAAGCATTCAAACACAAGCTTGCTTCCTTAATTCTTTTTGGCTTGCAACCCATCAAAATAAAGTAATATTGTCTCTTTGTTTATTTAAATACTTTTTAAAGACTTTAAAGAGGTCAAATTATTCAGTAGAGGACAGTCTGATGTCCTGGGGAATATGTTTTTTTTTCTGCTATTATATCCTTTTTTTTTACCAGTTTGGTTCAGTATTATTTATGACTGGTGAGGTGCACATTGTTAACTAACTAAAGATGTTTTTTAATCAAAATGTTGAGTTTTAATTTAATTGTTTTGCTCATGTCTCCAACAACAACATCAACATCAATAAACATCAGAGAATAAAACTGAATGAAACACCAGAGCTGTTGTTTTATATTCATATACTGTGTATTGTATATAGTTCTATATATAGTATAGTATATAGATCTTTTTACACACAGTTATACACACATATAGGCCTTCAGTTTTCAAACTTTATTATTTTATTCTGATAAAAGAACTATAAAGTGTCACATAACATCATTACTATTAAAATAAGACCTGAGCTACAATCTTGCTCCTAAAGCTGCCCGATGTATAGTGACATAATGTTAATAATGTACATGAGGTTTCCTCAGACAGTGTTGATGTCGTCCCTGACACACCACCGTTAGCACTGTTGTGATGTGGAAGCAGCAGTGACAGCACGGCACTCTGCGTCTGGACTTTGCTCCTGTGTTTTCTCCATACGACCCAGCTGCCTATATATACTCCCACTCTGTACTCAGTAGCTCACTGTCTGAACAGCAAGCTTCGTCCACACAGGTAAGACACCAGTAAGACGATGTCCCTCTTCAGGTTATGAGATACATGTGGAAAAATCAACCACAAAGAGATAATTTTGCATGTTTCTTTTCAGCTGCAGTGTCAATCATGAAGGTCCTCATTGTGCTCGCCCTCGCTGTTTTCACTGGTGAGAAAGTTTTTGGTGAAAATCATTGAAGTTTTCAGTATTCAGTGTTTCAACTTGTGACACTAAATGGCCTTTACCTCTGTTCTTTCAGCCGGCTGCAATGCCAACATCGTGCAGCAAAACCAGCCCAAGCAGCAGGTCGACATGGTGAAAGATGTTTTCTGGGACTACGTTGCCAAGGCAACCATGACTGCAGAGGACTCCCTGAAGCAGATCAGACAGTCCCAGTTGGGCAAGGAAGTGAAGTAAGAGTCTCAAATTCATAAAGACGCACAAACTAAAGCCGTGAAGGAAATTAAAGCCCCTGAAAACATCCTATGACAAACAAAGCTACAGTTTAAGCTCAGAAACTCTCACTTTGCTCCATCAGGACTTTGTTTGATCAGAGTTGATTGACAGTGATCAACCCACTAACTGTCATCAGATTTAATTATGGCTTAAGTATGAGCCGTGCCCACTTTATACCAATAAAAAGACAACAGAGAATAACAGAAATCTCAAATGTGAAATAACCAAAGCTGTTCAAAAGTTCATGGTAGTAAGCTGATTGAGAATGTTTTCAGGGCCTTTAAAATTTAACATTTTCATTAAATTACTGACTTTTTGTTTTTGTCATTTTCTGTTGCACGTTTCAGCTCAGAGAGGATAATGAATACATAAAGAACGAACAAGAGTTCCTCATGACTTACCCTGTGTGTCTGTTTCTGTCTCTGCAGCACCCTCATCTCCGAGAGCACCGACGCCGTCAACAAGCTCACAGACGCTCTGCGTACTAAGGTGGCTCCTCTCACCCAGGACCTCATGTCTAAGTTTTCCCTGGAGGCCGAGCAGCTGAAGACCCGCGTGGAGAAAGATCTGACCGCCATGGGAACCCATCTGCAGCCCTACGCCACGGAGCTTGTAGCTGACCTCCAGAGACAGGTGGAGGAGCTGAAGAGGGACGCAACCCCCTACGCCAACAGCATGGACTCTGAGACCCTGAAGGCCGTCCTGCTGCAGAAGAGCCAGGAGCTGAAGGGGCAAATGGATGAGAGCATGATCAGGCTGCAGGCCCAGATGGTTCCCTACACCGAGGAGATGAAGGAGAAGATGGAGCAGAGCCTGGACGAGTTTCAGAGGAGCATGATCCCCCTGGTCCAGAGCTTTGAGACCCAGCTGACCCAGAAAACCCAGGAGATCCAGCAGAACCTGGCTCCATTGGGAGACGAGCTGAGGGCCAAGCTGGACGCCGACACCAAGAACCTGAAGAGGCAGCTGACTTCTCTGTGGAGGTCCTTCACTAAGCTGACCCAGTAAACGGACTAATATCTATGCTCAGTTTTGAATTTTGGGACAGATACAAAGTGCAATACCTCATTTTCTATGTTGATGAACAATGCTCTCAAAGGCAACCTTTTCAATAATGACAGTATTTTCTCTTTTGTGTTACAACTATAACCTTTAAAAGAACAATAAACTGGTTAAATGTGTTTTGCATTGTCACTTTCTTTGTATTTGAAGTGGAAAAAACACAACAGGTCAGTAATCTAACTGTTGCTGTCCAACATTTTTACATTTACACATCAAAGATAATCTCATAAAGGTATATTAAAGCGAGAGTATTAAGAGAGGAAATAACACAATTTCTCCTTTACAAATGAGAAGTTGAATTCATAAGCAGTGAAACAGACTTGTTCAATTCTAATGTTAGCAAACTTTAAATAGATTTTGTTGCACAACTGAAATAACTGAATCAGATTGTTGAACTCTGTTGTGCTTTTGTTAAAGGACCAGTGTGTAGATTAAGCTTTAATCTGCAACTAACTGATCACTGCTCATGTCTGTATAAGACCTGGGAATAAGAAAGGGCTGTGAAGCAAAAGGCCCTATCTACAGCTGTCTGTTTGGTTTGTCCATTCTGGGCTACTGTAGAAACCACTTCCATGGAGTTCATGGCAGCCTCTGTGGAAGGCGACCTGCAGCGTCTGTAGATAAAAACAGCTCATTCTAATGTAACAAAAACACACCGATACTATCTATATTCAGGTGATTATACACTAATGAAAACATACCTATGAATATTATATTCCATTTCTGTCAAGATCCTCCTGAATGTTACACACTGGACCTTTAAGCTACATAATCACCATCTTCTTGTTATTGGTGCTTTTGGCCCCTGTGGCTGTTTCCCTATGTTTGAAAAAAAAAGACCACAAAAGCGACCTCTGGTGGCCAAATGTGCAAGGAAACGTGTTGAGGAGCCTTTCGAGTGGGGAAAATGCAATATAGGCTGAGCTACATGCTAGAAAAGGTTACATGTTTCGCCATAAATCCATCATGACAGCCTGAGTCCTAGTCTTTAACTTTACTCTTAACAGCCACTTCCTGCTTTTGAATGGTAGCGACTTCAAATTAATGTTAGTAAGTTCTGTTAATGGCAAACCATAAAACACAGAAAGACAGAGGAGCATCATGGATGTGCAAAATAAAACAAATAGAAGTTGCCCAAATGTAACCAGTTGTTGAGGGGTAGTTTCCACCACTGCTTCAACCTGAATAAAAAAAAACAATGTTTCACTATAACTTGATTATGAAACCACCCTGTTGCCAAAAAGTCTTGACGGGGCACAGTAGGGATTTCTGGCACAACTTTACTTCTTCCAAAGTACATGGAGAAAGGTAAAAGTCAGAAGAGAAGAAAACACTTCATTGTATAAAGAACAACTTTATTGACTTGCATCAGGGTCATGCAGGTGGACGAGGATGATGTGTTGCTGGAGATTTGTCCTCTTCTTGCCAGAGCTGCATATCTTCATCTGCAAATAAAAACATGTAAAATATCCTGAATACAAGCTGATACAAAAACTGAAAAAACACCAGCTTGTTTCTTCAATCAACCATTTTGTCTTTTGACCCATCAAAATAAAGTAATATCGTCTCTGGTTGCATTTTCTTGCTTTAATTAAATACTTTTTAAAGACTTTAAAGATTTTAATTATCCAGCAGAGGAAAAGTCTGAAAAAATAAACAGGATTTTTTTGGAGGAAGATTTTTTTTTTCTGCTTTTATATCATAAAATCATCTCACAGTTTCTTTATTTTGCCTCCTGACAGGTTAGAAACCACCTTTTTAGTCAACAAAAACCTTTATCATTTAACTCTGATTGTTGTTTATGTATTTAATGCTTCATGTCTGTTTATATTTTTATCAACAGTGAGGACAAAAGTTAATTTCCAGACATAAAGACAATAAAAATAATGTTTATTGATTACCCCCCAATCTGTACAAAGGGCAGTTTATTGGAAAGTTTACCATCTTATAATTATTATACAGCGGTTGTTAAAGCAGACTCTGAACCAGATCTGCTGGACAATGATATGATACCAGAATGACCTTTGGCCTTTGTGGTTGTAACAGAGGAAATATTTTAAAAGTTTCTTCTGATTATCTGATGGCGCAGTCACAATAATCTGCAGTTGAGTGAGAAGAAAACAAGATTACTATACGATTATTATTTTATTTAAGCAACTGTTCTAAAAAACTGTTGATATCAAACTCTTCTACTCATAATTCAGAGACATTAATCACATGCAAACTCTGATCAGACATTGTTGGTGCTTGCATGTGTACTTTCAGTGTGCGACGTGGAGCCAAAATAACACACGCACCGCAATAAAAGATGACAACAACGCAGGTCATGTTGGGAACTTCGGACACAAGTCAGCAATCCTCCTGACATTTATTGGGTCAAATCAATGTCACTTAAACTGTATAAATACTGAGTGGCGAGTTCACTCAGTCTCACACGTCACAGATCAGGATCACTGAGGTAAGTAACAGAAGATTTATGTAAATCTCTAACAGATGGTTGTTTTTTTTTTATTTGTTTTTAACTGTGTCACACAATCTGCAACATTTATGTTAATTTAAAGTATAGAGTTTGAGTTTACAGCGGATTTATAAAACCTCACGGAAGAGTCAGATGAATAAGATGTTATATCTGACTTAAAAAAGGTCTTGAAATCAAAGTTCAACAGGTGAATTAAAGTTAATAAACTACTGAATTGACTTTAACCTGTAAGTCAGCGTTGTTATTATTTTAATGTATTTATTATATGATATTGCAGGTGTCCTTGTTTCATCACCATGAGGGTCTTTGCAGTAATCTTTGTGCTGGCTGTCCTCTCAGGTGAGTTCAAAATCTCTTCTTAGGGACAAAATTTTTTTATTGGAATTTTAAATGATTTAAAAATATTAGGATTTAGCACAACAGAGGTATGGGAGAAAAAAATAGCCTTATTTTGAAAGAAGAAAATTATACACATAGGTATAAACTAGAAAAAGCATTTCCTGAAGAAAATGACCAAGTAAATGCATGAAAAGCTGTAAAAGTAAGTAAAAGAAGGATAAAAGGAAAGAAAGAAAGAAAAATGAAAGAAGGAAATAAAGGAAGAAACTCACTGATATTTCTATTTTGAAAGTTTTCAGCTCCCAGAAACCTGCCTTTAAACTCCTGTTACCGTTTGGGGCTTTTATTTTGAAAATACCACCTACTTCAGCCACCAGAGCTCTCACACTACTACTAAAACTAAAACAAATTCTAATTCTAATACTAATGCTAATAGTATAAAGAAAGCAAAAGAAGCTGTGTCACTAGTTGTGTCTAAACGTCAGCAGTGTATCTTACGGTTTCTTTTTGTGGTTTCTGAAGTCCTAAAATTTGTCTCCTCTGAGCCCATTTAGTCCAAATACAGGACTCAGATTTTATAAAGCATCTTGTCCATCAGAGCTGAAGAGACATCCTTTAATAAAATGACACTTGTTACAGTTTAAAGAAGGCGTTTAATCTGTAATCCAACGCAGAACTTCTTCCGTTCTTGTTTTATTTCCCAACTTAAAGATTCAGAGGTGCACATTTGAGATGTTTGTCTCTGTCCAAACCAGGCTGCCATGCAAGAAGCGTGTCTCAGGATGAGTGGAGGAAACCCTGGGAGGTCACCGTCGAGAAGTTCAATGATTATTTCACAGATCTGAACACGAGGGCCGATGCAGTGGTGAACGACATCAGGAGCTCCCAGATCAGCCGAGAACTGGAGTGAGTTCATTTACGTCACAGTGATCAATTTAGCAATAGTTATCAAAGTAATAAATCAGTAATAATTAGTGACTTACTGAACATGTTTATGACCTTGTTATGTGAATATTTTACATCTTATGTGCTCTAAATTTGCTTTAACACACTTGTACAGTTGCCTACAGATCATCTTTCTGACACATCTGTCACATATTTGTGTTTTAAACTGCAATTAATTAAATGATTAAATGATGTGTGTTTAATAAAATACTAATCATCTAAACTCAATAAGTCAGGCTCACGATCTTTACATTTCTATTCATTTGGACGGATGTTTGTTTTGAATTTCAAGAAACAAGCTGTTTCCCGACTACTATTTATAAATATATGGAACATTCATACTTCAGTAAATGATCTGAATACTTCTTCCAGCTCCGGTGAACACTGTAGTTTTTTATCTGTCTTGTGATTAAAGTGTGTTGGACTGAGGAAAAAGCACTGCTGTTAGACCTCCGCTTGCTTACACAACACACGTTCTTCCCTCGACTCAGTGTGAGGAGGTTAATCAGCATGTGTCATTGAGGTGAGACATTGTAAAGGGCTGCTGACTGAGGCCTGCTCACTGATCTCACTGATCAGACTCTTATTGGGACTTCTGTTGGTTTAGCCTCAGCCACTATAATGAACCTATACTCAACTTTTCAGTCAAAATTCTTAGATTTTTGCAGGGATGAAAGGTCTCAGCACAAACAGAACTCCTGTACACAGAGCTACATCTCTGCTGCTAAGCATTATTTTTAGATTTTACAAAGACAAATAAGCTTTTTATTTCCCTGTTTTCATCTTGAATGAGGCCTTTCTTTGCTCTGACCTCAGTCTCGACCCCCTTTGGATCCCGAATGTTTCCCAAAAGCACACAAAAAATAACCCTAAACTCGTCTGTCTCACCCCTAAACCAGCACCCTGATCCAGGACAGCATGTCTGAGCTGGCCATGTACAAGGACGACCTGCAGACCAAGCTGGCCCCCTACACTCAGGAGGCCGGGGAACGTCTGGCCAAGGACCTGCAGATACTGGCCGACAAACTCCGCGAGCACATGAACGAGGGCCGGGAGCAGATGGAGAAGTACATCCAGGAGCTGCAGACCATGATGGAGCAGAACGCAGATGACGTCAGGGTCAGGGTCTCCACCTACAACCGCAAGCTGAAGAAACGCCTCAGCAAGGACACTCAGGAGATCAAAAGGTGAGAGAAACCCACTGAAGCAGAGAGGCATTCACTGGAGTGCAGTAAGAGGCTTTTATCTAATTTTTACCCACTAAAACTTACAAGAACCTATAATCCTGAGTGGATTTTATCAGAACAATCACCAACAGTTTCAGGTTTGTAGGTGCTTCCTTAAATACTTTATATTAAGTTATGTTTTAATACAAATTTACGTTGTTTTATTGTTAGTTTTTATGTTTTTTATGTTTTCCAGAGAGCAGTACTTGTAGAAGTATTGATATGAAACTGAATTGAATATAGAGCTGTAACAATTAGTCAATTAATCGACTATTTGATTGACAGAAATTGGAAACTATTTTAATAATCAGTTAATCTTTTACGTAATTCTTCTGGCTTTCTTTGATTCCAGCATCATAAATATTCTGATATGCTGCCTGTCTTTGGTTTATATCAGTGTAAAATGAATATCTTTGGGTTTTGGGCTATTAATAATAGTAATGAAAATAATTGTTGTATGCACACATTTAAGAAGCAGATTTAAAGTAAATGTTTTTTTGTTTTCAAATGTTCATATGATCACACTATGCAGGTTGACATACTACTTCTTTAGTACCTATTTCTAATAAAAAGTAGAATATAGGTCGTGCACAGCAGTGCTTCGCATTAATGGTTCATTGTTTTATATTATTTTGTATTTTATAGTTTTAGTTTAAGTTTTTTTCTTTCTGTTGATCAGTGTCAAAACACATCATTAAATTTACTTTGATTTAATGCTGTAAAACAATAAAACAAGGTGCTGTATCAGACTTTGTCAGGGACAGAATGAAGTCCTGGACTGACTTCCATCGTTGTCCCGGTTGGTTTTACAGTCCGCTGACCTTTATCAAGACTGAGACATTCAGTAGTCAGTGTTTTTATAGGAACTGCATGTTGTATTTTATAGAAATATCTGTAGAATATTATAAATATGATATAATATAAATATAAAAATGCAACACTCACTTTGCATGTTTTTTATTAAATATGTACATTTACTTGGAATACTTCTTCCAACACTGCATTTATACACTATATAATAATACTTTCTTTACAATAGACTAACAGACTAAACACTGATGATAAATCAGATAATTATGAGTCTCATTCTCATTTAAAACTCTTCTGTCCTTCTTTCAGACAAATGTCCGAATACCTTGAGGAGTTTCAGTCCCGTACCTCAGACAACATGGAGGACATGAGGATGCGTCTGGACCCTTACTTCTCTCAGGTGCGTGACAACGCCCAGGCAAAGATCACAACCCTGAATGATCTGCTGAAGTCGCAGGTGGAGAACATGAAGGAAAAGATTCAGACCACAGCTGAGGACATCAAGGAGCACTTGGAGAAGACCACTGAAGACCTGCGATCCACTCTGGAGGACAAGATGGAGGAGCTGAACGACTGGGTCCAGCCTTTGAAGTTTTGGTAACATGTAAACCCTGTAATCCAACAGTCTGGACTATCTGTTTATCCAACAGTATCAATCCATCTGTATCAAAACCAACCTTAAAGGATTCATAAATGCTCAGATTTAAAGAAGGGAAGTCTTTATGTCCACCACAGTCTTAAAGTTTCTCTGTCACTGAAAACCCTTCAATAAAAACCAACTGAACAAAATCATTGGTCATCAATAATGTGCTCAACTCTGATCATTTACACACATTTGGGGCTGAATGGAAACAGTTTTATTTCTCTACAAACGTATTATTATCATTAAAATTATTTCCAACACACTATAGTAACAATAACATATATTTTGGTTAAGAAAATCAACATCATGTGTTGAAACTTACTGGCACTCAGATGTGTTTACAAAGTGTACATTTAACACCCTTGTTTGAAAGTCATGCATTTATTTTAGCAACTTTTCTGCATCCAGTTACGTTCACACTGCAAGCCTCAGTGCTCTATTTGGATTTATTGCTCAGATTTTGTTTGTTTTTAAATGTGACCCATATCAGATTCCAGTGATTTGATATTGTATACCTCTTACTGTAACACTTAACACAATATCACTTTAATATCATTCCTCCATATAATTGTATTGTGATAAAACAATTTCGGTCTACAGCTGTAACCTCAAATTAAATGGTTACAGGTGAATCACACCAACATGATGAATGTGTATCTAAAGAGTCACATTAATTTTGTTATGACGGTTCACACTGAGGAAAAAAAACATTTGATGCCCGAATCTGAACTTTAAAGGTCAGATACCATGTGATCTGTTCTGTTCACACTGTCATGAAAGAAATCTGAGATCTGAGTCAAAAATGAGCAAAAAAATATAACATATTTTAGTCACTCTGGCCTCCAGTCTGAGTGAAGGTTTTGACCTTTTGTTGACTTTGGGGTGAATCAGCTGAAATCAACACATTGACTGCAGCAGGATTGAATCATTACTCAACAAAAAACATTTGATTTTAAAGATGATATAATAATAATGACATATATTCTTTATTATCACTAAGGCACACTGATTAAAGTCAGTAAAGTCTAATCTTAACCTATAATGATACATCATCATTATTTATTTATTCATTAAATTTAAGTATGTGTATATATATATGGTAAAATATGTGCCAAACAGAGTTAAATCTGGAGAATAAGATTAGCAGGTTAGTGCATCTCTTCAGCTCTACAGTACTTTATTATATAATGCTGTTTATCACATTTTACTTTTATCAAAATATTACAGCTTCTGCAATTTGTGACATATTTTATGGATATTTCATATTAAATTAAAAACTGTACAATGAACCTAATCAGCGAAGAAATCCTGTGTTTTCTTGTCCCTGATACTTGGACATTGTTCTATTAGACAGTTTTCTTTACTTTATATTTACATTTCCTCACAGAAGTGAACCTACTGTGTATATTTTTAAGTTTCTTCCCATGATTTTGTCTTTATTTATATTTTTCGAGCTTGGTTGTGATTCCTATGCACCAATGCAAATTCCTCATATGTGAAAACTTTCTTGGCAATAAACCTGCCATGATGAAGCTTTGGCGACCCCTAGTGGGGATCTCGAGCCCTAGGTTGGGAACCACTGATATGAAGTAGCAGAAAACACTCATTTCAAGTGCAAAGACCTCAAAACTGTACTTAAACACAATACTCGAGTTCATGTACTTAGTTACTTTCCACCACTGAAACACAGTAATAACTGCATGTAAACCTACAAAAATAAAGTAATCTTCACACACTGATGATGGTGAACCGGCTGCATGTGTCAGAAACCTGCAGGTAAGAGACTGCATGCTGGTGCTGGTTGGTTGGACTCCTCTTACAGCGTTTATAAACCTGAATCAGACCCCTGGTGGACCTCAGCTGTCACAGTCTGACTGTCCGGATATATAAGGACAACTTTCGGTGCATCAGCGCCACCTTCTGGGTTGGAGTGTGGATAAAAACTTTTACTATATTATTAGTACATTAAATTATCTCAACAATTCATGTGCTTTCTCAAAATTATGGTTGCTTGAACAAATGATTACTTTCATTATTTGTAACTTCTGGAGTCTGATATAATACTTTAATGTATCCGTGTTGTGCAAAATCTATTATTAATGTTTTATCTTTGTATTTTATCATGTTGATTTTATAGTTTTTATTCTCTCCTATCTTTGTATTTATTCATATTATTAACCGTTTGTTTCTTTAATGGCTACAGCTTTCAGCGTCCTTATCTTATTATTATTATTGTTATTTAAGATCTAAACTTTGAAGAACTGAACACAAGCTATTGTTACAGTGTCTTTCTACTAAATGCAGCTAAAACAACCAAAGAGCTAATAAAAAATACAAGCATCAGATAGAATAAAACACTGAATTTGTCTAAAAAAGAAGCCCCTAAGTAGTTAGGATTGTTAAAAAAATAATAATACAGACAGATAATTGTATAAAAAAGTCCCATAAAATATGAGGGAAACTCATCTCTGAAGCAATATTTAATAATCTTTTTCAAATAGCAAGTACATTTTCTTATCTTATCTTTAAAATTCATCCAAAACATACATTTTATAATGAGACTTCCTGCAGTTATTGTTTAGGTTCATTGTACAATTTATCAGTTATTCTGCACTGTTATTGTTATACACTGGATATAATATTGATGTTTTCTATCTATATTCTTATATATTCTATTATAATGAACATACTTAGGCTCCTATCTTATTATATTTCTATTTCATTTTATTTTATATGTATATACGTATATATACATTTTCTATTTTCTATTCTATATATATTGTGTTAGAGATTGTAAAAATAATTATTATATCTATTCTTTAATGTTGAACAACTGTAACAAACAAATTTACCACCAGGGATCAATAAAGTATTTCTCATTCTGATTCTAATAACAGGAAATATCCATAAAATATGTCACTTATTTGTCTTAAAATATAAAATATAATAATATAAAATATAAAATATCATAATGTCATAAAATTGTGAAAAATATCAAGAAAAAAAATCATAATTTTAAATTTTACTCTGAAACTTTAATCTGAACGCAGCACGTGAAGCTCGAGCACGGTGAAACCACGCTTGTTCCCACCGACGTCATTTAAACACCCAATCACAAGTCTTCACACAACTCCTCCAGCCAATCACAGAGGCCGGCCTCCTGTGACGCAGGTTAGGTTGTCTCTGCTCACTGTTGTCATTTTGCAAACATTTTCCACCAGACACTCAGCAGAGAGAGAGTTTTCTATGTTAACCTGAGCGCCGACTGCAGCCACGATGAGCAACCCTTGTAGAGAAGTCATCACTCTTCAGTTGGGACATTATTCAAACTTCGTGGGGACTCACTGGTGGAACTTACAGGTGAGGGGGGGGACAGGTGGAGCTCGTGTTAGCTTCACATGTGTTGTCAAAGTTGGAGTCTCTGGAGCTGCAGAGATGTTTCAGTGGGAGCAGCAGCAGCGTGAATGTGCACTTTCTGCTCCTTCTCCACACAGACTGGAGGATAGGCGATGGAATTAAAGTTATATTGTGTTAAATTATAGTTTGCCACCTGGTTTATGGTGCTAAAGATGCTAATTGTGACGTCTGTTGAGATAGATAAGATATTCCTTTTATTTATTTGTCCCTAAGTGGGGAAATACAACAGTATAGAAACAGTAAGAGTAGAGAAATAATATAATATAATATAATATAATATAATATAATATAATATAATAAAGTTGTTGAACAGTCTGACAGCAGCAGGAAGGAAGGACCTACTTTGTGGTTTGATAAGCATAATTGTTTTTGTGGATATAAATTTGTGAGATTCTCCAGTAGAAGATACAGAATACTCTTCACAGACTAACTTTAAAATAGGGTAAGAATATATAAACTACTGTTTTAAATGATGGAGTTAGATTAGGACAGAGGTTGCCAACCTTTTTTTTTTTTAGATAGATAAATAGACTTTATTAGTTAATGAAGGGCAATTGGGTCGTCATAGCAACCAGGTACATTTAAATACAATAAAATACAACAATAAAATAGGATACTTAGGTAGAAAGATAAAAAGATAAATACGTAGGTAAGGTGCAAAGAAGTTGCAGTTGCAAGATGGTGGTAATAGTACTGATAATATGATGGTAGTGTTATTGTTAATAACAGTATCCTTTAATAATCTGACCACCTGACTAAGAGGAATATCTTATAGAACCACATTTTAAGAATAAATGTGCGTGAAATAAGGATTCACCAGTGGATTAACAGCCTTGTTTAAACGCAGTGCACCACAGCAATCTGTCTAAGCAACTATCCTAGAAGAAATAACATAAACCTACATAACAGTCGGAAACTGAAAGTAACTCCTGCATGAGGCTGCTTATCATTACATCCTCACTACATTAATTATAATATTGAACTAGAAGTGTCTTCGCAGCACCCTGATCGCAGTGTCTCCCTCTCGTTTCTTTTTAAAGGAGCTGAACGTTTGGTGGTCTGTGTGTATGTAACTCTGTCTTCCTCTTGTCTTTGTTTGCAGGATGCAGCTTTGTCATACGACCCAGAGACGCCACTAGGTGACATCCAGAGTGAAGTTGTGTTTCGTGAAGGACAGACTCTGGGCGGACATGTCACCCACACACCTCGCCTCATTGCCATGGATCTCAAAGGTAACCTCTCCTATCACATGCTGTTATTAATGCTGAAGACATCCTGGATACTGGAACAGCTTTATTTTTGAGCAGCATAATTAACCTGCTTATTTCTGTTGATTTAAAGGTTTTCTGTTTGTGTGCCAGTTATTAAAGCTTTGGTTTTTGTCATAAAGTTTCCTTAAATTGATACTTGGCAAGTTGAATCACCTGCCTGTCATACTCTGTCTATAACAGGAAGTCTTCGGACTCTCCGGCAGGACGGGAGTCTGTATGAACCTGACAAAGACAGCTCCCCGCTCACATGGTAAATAAGAGTCTCTGTATGTGCATTATTGTCTGTATATTTACACAGTAAAGTGTATCACTGTGGAACCGTACATTCAGTTGTTCGCTTTGCATCTTCTGTTGCACATTTGTTTTTGGGGTAATGAAACACTGAACAACAATGCCTGCAGTGCTCACGTACCTGCATTGATGGATATATCAGATCCAACAAAGTTTCTTTTCTTACTAATG